TGACCCTCTGGCTCTCTACAAGGACTGTGGTTGCCAAGATTCCAGAAGCCTTAAGGACTCGACTTGGCAACCAAAGGAAAAAGAGAAAGGGGATGAGAACAAATATTTACTGAGCGCCAACTATGGACGTATTTGGAAAGGTTCTAGCATACGTGTGAGGACACGGCGGCTTTAAAAGCTTAAACAGCCTGCCCAGGATCACATGGTTGGGGCCAGTGTGCAGAACCGCATTTGTCTGACCTCAAAGCCATGTCCAAGGAGAAGGACTCCGCCTCCTTCTTCAGGCCTGGGCTTTGAGCTGCCTTGAGCTAAGAGGGAGGTCAAGGTGGACGACACAGATAAATCTGTTTGCGGCATCACGTAACTCAGACCCCGTATTTTCACATGAACTGATATGCACTGCTTTAAAAGTCAATGTCAGATTTTAATTTTTTTCAGAAAAAAATGCCTCCCTATATAAATAAATGTACAAAAATTACAAAGTATTATATTTTTTAACTTCAGCATGGAAACTCCTCGATAACCTAAGGCAAGAAGCTGAGAAGAAGAAGGTGCTGGTAGCTGCACACTTACTCTCTAAGAGGACTGGAGGACTGAGCAGACCCTGTGGGCTGAGAGAGGTGGGATCGAATCCTGGCCCTTTTCCTAGCTGGGCTGTCTTGGCCAAGTCAATTTCTTTGAGCTCCAGTTTCTACATCTGTAAAGCGGTGATTGTAGTAACTCTCTTGCAAGATTGTTATGAAAATACTAAATCAAGTATTTTAAATGGCTGTAACAATCTCTGGTAAATAGTATATTTAACCAGATAAATAGATAAAGCTCAATAGATAGCTAGGATTACTATATCGCATTATATTGTTATTATTCTTACTAGCAAAACATATCAATCCTAATAAGTAGAAGAGTTAAAAGAGATCAGATGAGAACAACAAAAATGGTGAGAAGCACATTGAAAAAGGTTGGCTGGGTCCCCAAGATAACAGAAGCGATTTTAAGAGAAGTGAATTCAGAGCAGATGAAGAATATCCAGTGGTTCTGTTTGATGTGCAGTGTCGCTGGCTCGTCGGAGGTCGGACCAGAGGTTCGTTCCCTGTCTGAGCTTCTTCAAAGGACCACGTGTTTCTCCTCAGTCAGATTCTGCACAAATGGCATATTAATGTGTAAGCACCAACAGGCGTGCACAGCTCTGTAAGTTTTCATCATTTGCAGGTAAATATCAAGGAGTGGCTATAATCGTTTTCCCCTCAAGGCTCCTTTCCTATAAGAGCCGTTTTTATAGTGGTGGGACTTTCATTCACTCAGGTGTGAGGTAGTTTAGCTTAAGTTCAAACCACGCTTGGTTCTGTTGGCCTGTCATGCAAGGAGTCAGAGCGTAAAGTCCTGAGTCACGGTCCTTCGTTCTCCTGGGAGCGGGTCCTGGGAGCTGGCCCGGAGATGTTAAGTACCACAGTGTAACAAGCAAATAGGAGTAGAAAAATAGAAAGCTCAGCTGAAAGCTGGAGAGAGGTGAGTCCTCTCATGACAGGAAGAAGGAGGCTGGGAGATCTTGAAGGTCAGTGCGATACCTTTGCCCCTAGTAAACAGCAGGGAAATATTAATGTAGCGTCTAACGTCTAGGATCCAGGGATGGAGCAAGCTGGTACAGACGATGTTGGAACTGTGAAAATGGCCCCAAAGTGGAAAGAGAACCAGGCTGATGAGTAGAGTAAGAGCACGGGTGGAAAGAAATAGGTTTTCCACAGTTGTAAGGTGGGATGAGGGAAGTGCCCAGACCAAGCACACATTGGGGTTTGGGTTGTTCATTTGCCGCCCGCGTCACCTTGGACCAGTGCCTCAGCCTTTCTACACTTCCCTCCCATCAAAGCGGGGATGCTAGTGCCTGTCCTGCCACCCTCATGGTGCTGTAGTGTTCAGATACTGAGTGGTGAAGGGAAAGCGCTTTGTCAAATTCCACAATGATCTGAAGGGACTGGGAGAACCTGAACAAACACCCCTGCCGTGGCCGTGACACAGCATACAACCGGTCACACTGCGAGTGAACCCGTGGGAAGTGGGGAGGAACTGACTCACAGAGGGTGTGACACTTCAACTGGGAGGTGTAGAGTTTATCCTGGGGCACCGCTGGGGGCGGCTGAGCAGGCATTTCAGGCAGATGGGCTGGCCTGTGATGAGCTCAGAGAAGGGTGAGCAGTCCCCGCCCTGGCTGGGGTACAGGGGGAGGAGAGACCGGACATGGAAGGGCCTTGGTGGCCCTGCTAAAAATGTGGGCTTTCCTCTGCAGGTAAGGAGGCCCCATCAGAAGGTCTTCATCTCTGTTGCAAATTTTCAGATTACTCTGATAGCAGCACAAAGGTGGGTTGGAAAAGGCGAGGCTAGGGATAGAGAAACCAGTTAGGGCTCTGCTGCCGCGGGAACCAGGGGGCAGCCACAGACGCCAGCAGAGGAGGCGCTTCGAGAACTGCGATATTCATTACTTTCGTTACATGTTAAAGTAACAAACACTTTTCTTGGAAAATAGCTATTTTACAAAGCGAAAAAAATCAGCCAGAGTGGCATTGCTCTACACTTTTGCAAATCTTTTAAAAGTCTGGCTTAAGAGAAGACAGAGCTGGATTTTCACATCTTCCTCTGCATTGTTTTGCTTCAAGTATAGGAAGAAAATCTGGCCACACACAGATATGTAGCTGGAAGAGAGAGGAGTATTTTAATAGCCTTTAGAGATAATTGTGAATATTTTTGATACTACAACAAAACTCAGCAAGGGACACAACTTACAGTGGGCTGTAGTCGTATCTGCCCACAGAAAGCCGCCAAGTGGCCACAGATGGAAACCGTTAGGTCCCACAGCTAGGCTTACATCAGAGGAAGGTGCCCCAAAGCTGGCTTGGCAAGACGTTCAGGGCTCAGAACCCAGACTTCAGGCTTAGGTGACAAGGCTTATTGAGCAACGGAATTAATTCCTTTTATGGTAGTATAAAATGTCCCTTCCTTTTGGGTCTAGTCTTGGGGCTGATTGCGGCAAGTTAGGTGCCAAGGACCTGCTACTAAGGGCCAAGAGATGGGCTGACAAGTTACCATCCCAATAGCTAGGATAGATGATGGAAGAAAACATGGTTTCTCCAAGAATAGAAAGACTGGTCCCTCTTGCCCACCACAGAATAGACCCAGGGGAGATTTTTGGCCTCCTTCATGTGACTCCTTGTGTTGTTGAACTTTATGAAACTAGAAGGGAATGTTCAAATAAGGTGGGAGAAAAAGTTGAAATCTATACATCCCCACAGTGAAGCTCTCAAAGCTTCTCCATTGCCGCATCCAGTCAACAGTCTACACTGCCTCGTGGCCCTCTCTTTTCATGGCCAAAGGCAGCCAAGATGGCAGACTTTTGAAATTAAGTGGAACTGATCTAAAAGCACCCCTTCTGCAGGTCTGCTCAGACCACCTAAACCAGAGCAATTCCCACAACCTCTGAGGGTCACTGAACAAATCAACTACCTGTAAGAGGAATGAAATAAAAAAAATACACATTTTCTAAGTAAGAAATTTATTTGATCAAATGACAATATATGAAGATAGTTTAAACCATAAGGCTCTATTCAGACAAGAAGTAAATTTATTATAAAGTAAATGTTATCCATGTAAATGGTACCTAAAAACAGAAAGAATGAGTTTCCTATAAATAATGTGTCTGTATAAGGCATTCATAAAATCCTTGTGTACTTTAAAACTAGGTTGCAAGTATAACAAAAACCTGTCAATAGTATACTCAAAAGGAGGTCTCAGACGACACAATATGTGGTTATACACAGGTATTTGGGGTTCTGTGACAATCAAAGCATGGCTACCATCAGTGAGAAAATGTGCTGTCCTGTGAGCAGAACCAAAGCTGTGATTATGCTGAAACCTCGAGTTTCCTGCACAGAATCCTATCCTTTCAAGTCCTTGGGAATTTGAATCAAGCAGGTGGGAATTTCTAAAAACTTTAGTTTGGGATAATTAGAAAAAGAGGTTGGGAAACTGGAGTTGGAAAGAGAGAAGGGAGGGGAAAGTGAGGCATGGCAAGGTCAGAGGTTTCTGCAGAGCAGCTTTAGAAATGACCAAGGAAATGGATGAAAAAAAATTACAGTGAACCCTTGGAGCTGCACCCTGGGGTCTGTAAGGAGGAGGGCACGGAGTTGCGAGGTCGGGACAGACCCGCATGCCCAGGTGCTCAGCTGGGCACCACCGCACACAACACGACAATCTTCACTGGAGGGTGGAGACATTACCTGGGTGCATGGGGGACAGGGCAGAATGTGTAGATTACATCAACTCTCCCCAAAGATTTTTCCACCCTCCAAGGGACTTTGTCTTTGGGGCCATGATAGGACCCAGGAGGCAGGAATCAGCAGCTGCAAGTTATAAAATCAGAAAAGCTTCAGACACGTGGAAGGAGAACCAGACACGGAGCAGGTCTCCTAGTGCACACACTGCTGAGAGCAAAGCATGAAGGTGTCCCGTGATTAAAGTGAGACTGAACCACAGGGAGAAACAGAAAAGATCCCAGAAAGCCAAGGATGGTAACTGAAAAATCATGATATAGCACCATTACCCATTTACAATATATAAACCTCACCGAGAATCTATATAATGTCTGTGCTATTACTTCATAAATATAAATATTTATGAGGGCTTTCAAAATATTACAAATGACAAACTTTCTGGTATAAATGTTAGACTCTAGATTCATACAACGGACTTGATATCATTACATTTAAACCTAGTAGATTTGGGGTTATATATAGAATGATTTTTGCAGACCATTTTCTAAAGCTTGGTCACACAGCTGAGTGAGTGCCAAAAACACAGGAAGCATCTTATGGCGGCTTTGGCAGCAAACATGGTTTTTGTCTGTGTATTTGTGCCTTATACAAAGATACACTTGTTCATTTGTATAAATGAATTTAAAGTCATCCATAGGAGATCTGACACTTAAAACTCTTTTCTATTTTCCTATCTGCTTCTTTGCTGTCAACTCTATTTGGGAGGGCTACTCAGCGGCTTGTGGCTTCTTTTCTCTGAATCTCATTGTCTTCCTTTGAGGTGTGTATTTAAAAATAGTTTCATGTTTCCCATTCAGGCTAAGTGGCTCTTTTAAGATTCCTGATCTTGAGGTTACAATCTTTGTTATCAGTGACTGTGATGCACATGTGCACACGCACACACAGATTTTAATAAAAACCGTAAGTGACTTTATATCATCTAATTATAGCAGTGTGCTTTTAAAACTGTTTGCTCCCAGCACTACAGAAAATAACCTCCAAACACATCCAGGGTGATCATCGCAGCTGACCCTCTCTGCTGTCTGAGGCTCACAAAGTGAGACAAACCTGAAGATGGGTCACGGGATGGAGACCCCAAGGTTCTGTGGATGCAGAGACTATTAAAAACACGGCCTCTGCAGCATCTACACTTGCTTTCTGCTCAGGGAAGGACGTAATATCTAATTACTCTAGAGAGTGATTTCATAAATTAGTCTTCTGCATGTGTGACTTTACTCCCATAGCTAAAGGACGGCAGTATTAACACCATTACACTGTCACGACACACGTGATCCCAGGCACAGAGAGAGTTCAACCTAATAGAGCTCGACAATCTTAAAGCCAAGCCTCAGTCATTTACCTTTGCTTCATTTCCCCAAAACAAATTTCTAATTTACAAACTGAAGAGCCCACTATCATAGGAAAGTGAAATCAGCTTTTCCACTGTGCTGTTAACAAGCCAATATTTGATAAAGACGTTAAGAGCTGGACTCCCAGTCTACGGCTTCTCAATGAGTAATCCACTGTGTAAATTTAACTCAAGTGAAATTACCAAAAAAATTAGCTAAAAAAATGGCTTTAGGAATATGGGGCAACGCTAGAGTAGCTTATTTACCTTCTCTAAACAGAAATCACCTCTTGACAAGAGATGCTGCTTTTGGCTCAGTTCACCTGGAAATAATTTCATTTGGAACTTCTCTCAGCTATTTAATATAACAGGGGACTAACTCAAAGTCGGTTCTAGTGGATGGAACAAAATAAACATCAGTGGGGCACGGCGCAGCACAGCCAATCAATGGGCTTCACCCCGTGGAGTGCCACGGTCACACGGGCCAGACTGACTGGGGGTTTAAGCAAACTTCTCATTTCCCAAATACCACCGTTTCCTGAAACAGGATTCTAATAGAAAACAGAGATCTGGAACCAGGGCCCTCACAGCAATATCTAGGTTGGGTGGCCATGGCATGGCCTGTGGTGAACTGTCTGCCCCCACAGCTGTCTTCACATTCACAGCTCTGGCACCGGGTACTGGCACACATTTTAAAGAGACATCGATGGCTCTGGGGGTACAATCTGAAACTTCAGAACACCAACTGAAGGATGAAGCTGCTCTGACAGTCACGTCATTCTGTGACAGTTGCTTGGCCACTTGACTCTCCCATCCTCCCTACTCCAAGTGTTCCTCACCCTAGAGTGTGTGGGCAAGGTGGCTCCAAATCACAGGTAAGCTGAGTTTTGCTAAACATTGACACTGAACTCAGAACTGTTTCCCTCTGTTAGCTTTCCAGCCTTACGTTTCAGACCAGTTTATAAATAGCATAATACGAGGGTAATGTGAGCAAACCCGTATGAGTTTGGCTCATCATCAAGCTGTCTACACAATGTGCAAAGAAATAAGGTGATTTGGAGGAGTAATTAATGCGTCTGGCTTGGGAGGAAAAATATACTCCAGCTGAATCACATCTTTCTTTAAACTTTTCCATCCAAAAAATCAACTGAAGAAAGCCCGCTTTTTGTTACTTCAACCTCAATGTCAAACTTACATTGTTTGTTAAAACTATCCAATGGACAACCCATTGCCATGGTGGAGAAAAAAATCGTCTGTGAGGAAAATGAACCACAACTCAGAAAAATAAGTGAAAGCATTTGCAGCGACAGAACACTAAGAGTTTTTAAAGTTAAAATGATAATATATCTAGAAAATACTGTGAAAATATATATCTCAGAATAGAACTCGGTTTAGTCAGAAGGCTCAGTAAAACAATTACTTAAAAAGCTGACCAATAAACAGGAGAGCTAAAATACCCTTCCCATTTTCAAATCCTCCTCACTTTCCTGCCCTCAGACTCCACCCGTCTGGATGTACTAAAACAGAATAACCGAAAAGCTGTGAAAAAGTGCTGGTATTTTTCAGGATCTCTTCAAGACAATTTCCATCTTGGTAACTTGACTCCTCTCTCAGATCAAGGCAACTGATGGCCTTTAAATGCATTTGGAGACACGGGTTCAAAGACCTCGTCGTCATCTTCCACCCCTTCTTCTATTGGTTTCATCTTGGCGGAGGCTCGCTGGTGTGGGGACGACACATCTGTCAAAGACACAGAAAGGACAACCACGTAATGTACAGCCTGCCCTGACAGTGATGAATAAATGACAACCAATAGGACATACTGGAGTTTACGAGGAAGACATTGGTTTAAAAATAATTTGGCCTGACCTTGTTTTTTCCAAAAGACGTGGACTCTTGGGCACGCATTGTACATCTGCTTTAAACTTTTACAACGTCCCAAAGACAAGACTGATGCTCTTAAAAATAGGGATGCAGCTTCCCCCCATATGCCATTTCCTTAAGGCTAAGCATCTCTTCCTAGAAACTAAGGATTAACTACTGACCTGCTGTGTTCACCTTGTGACCACTGACCTGGTGACCACCGACCTGCTGAGTTCCTATCATATGTGATGTACGCTCTTTGTTCCAAGACTGTATATAACCTCTCTGCAGACCCCACTTCTTTGGAGAGCTTCCTCTTCCTTCCTGAAGGTACTCTCTGGGCTATATGGTCCTTAGGGTGGGCTCATGGTAAACTCACCCCAATTTTGATTTATAGATTGATTATGGATTATTTGTGTTGACATTGGCGTGATGTAGTAATTATAAACTCCAACTGGAAAATAAAACTCTCCAAGAATCTATAGCTGGTAACAGGAAGGCAGTTTTCCTTAACGTATTTTCAATCCAGCATTTCAATAAAGCAACCAGTTCAAGAAGTGGTTCTCAGTCGTGAGAACAGACGTGGAACGGATTCCGCTGCATGAGCTTGTGTGATATGAGCTTCTCAAACACACACAGTTCCCAGTGGGCTGCCCTACAGTCTGTTTAGGACTCAGAATGCATGTTCCTACATTCATATCATACATGGTGATTTGAAGCTCTCGAAAGCCGATTATTTAACTCCTTAATTTCCCTAAAGAATAGTTCTATTCTAAAACTATAGAATCTAACGTCATCTGTAGCACCACCTAAAAGAACAGTGCTTGCCACCACCTGTTCAGCCGCTCCTGGACTGATATGGGAGAAGGGAGGAGGGAGAGAAGAGGAGAGGCGGCAGGGGGAGATGGGGAGAGGCCCCGCACCAAGGAGGGAGGAGCCAGGTGGAGGAAATACAATCCCAAGTAGCAGCAGGGGCAGGAGCATCCCCAGGGCCTTTTAGGACGCCATTATACCGAAGGAACCAAGCAATAAATGATTCATTCATTCAGCCCCTCATTCAATAATGCATTCACCAAATGCTTATTGAGCATCTACCATACAATGGACGCTATGCTTGATGTAGAGAAAAATACTGCCTAAAACTAAGAGTGGAAGTTATCATAAATAGGTGCAGAGACTTCTCAAGACACCTAGTGAGCAGCTCACGAGACAGCATAAACATAAACTCCCCTCCACACAGTTCCCACATTCAATGTCAGGATCCACATGGTCGGGGCTCCATCTGCTCCACGCACACCTGTGCTGTCTTCTTGCTGCCCTCCAGCAGGGCGGAGTGGCGTTCAGTCAGCCAGCAAATGCTGAACTCAGGCTGGGTGTAAGGGTCGATGATAGAAGAAGAGTCAGTGAAATCCGACTCTTCAAATACTTGCAATACAGCGAAGGAGAGGAGAGGGATCCTATTAAGACACAAAGCAGAACAGCTACAGGAAACTGATCCAGATCAGCTGTGAATCCCTGGCAAGAGGCAGCAGCACAACAGGGCTGGCCGCCCTGAGAGCATGCTGCAGGGAACAGGAGGGAGGGCAGGGGCCAGCGGTCTGCCACACCGCACGGGGGAAGCTGCAGGCACGAGGGTCAAGACTGGCGGCTCAGGAAACACTTCCAGGGGTCACATCCCTGCTCTGCTGCTTCCCAGCTGTGTGACCTTCCCTCCATTACCAAACCTCTCTGGGCCTCAGTTTCCACACCTGTAGAAAGGAGATTTTCACAGGACTGCCTCATGGGGTTGTTGGGAGGATTAAATAAAATAATCATGTGATGTGATCAGCAGGGTGCCAGGCACACAGAGAATGCCACTGAATGTCATTTGTTGTTAACTGTATAGTTACTACCATACTTCTGGGGAAATGCCACTACCAACAGCCACATCTTCTGACATAAAAAGATCATAATTCAGCAGGGCTGGACGTTGGTATATGTGCTTGTTGTACATCCACGGAAACTGTTCACTTTCAAACAGTCAATTAAAATACTGAGTTTCTTGAAAGACAACTACTGACATAAACCGTAGAAAGTAAGCCTCTATTAAAATGGCCCAAGAAGACGATTCCGGCACAGAGCACAGCACGGCAGACCCTCTCAGACAAGGTCTTTTGATCCTTTTCCGCACAGGTGACATCAAACACACCAAACACAACGTCTAATTCGAATGTCTACTCAAATGCAATGGAAACTATCTGTGTGACCTTGAGCAAGTTACTTCACTTTTCTGAGCCTCAACTGCCCCATCTGTGAAATAGGAACAATACTAATACTATCTACTTCATATGGTTGTTAAGAGGATTAAATGACTTAACAGGTGTAAAGTTCTTAGATTGGCACCCAGGATGTCATAATCACTCTGATTCAATAAAATGAGTTAATTAATATGGTCTTTGGAGGGCAATGGCCTAAATAATTAGGGAGCATGTTAAAAGTCATCATCGCCCAGAGGAATGGCAAATAAAGGAAATGGGACTCATGTTGGAATAGGCGTTTGTGTTCCTTAATCTAAACTGTCCTGAGTGCAGCAAAATTGTCTATTTTTTTTAAAAAAAACAACAGCCATGGCTTCCATCAAATTTCTAGCCTCAAGTTATGATTGAGTCTCCTGAAATATTAACTTAGGCTGAGCATTTGCAATCAGAAATAAACTCTTAGAACAAACAACAAGATGGCACATCTAAGCGCATTAAATCAAACCAATAATGGAGAGCATTCAGACCTAATTGTTTAACACACAGAAGAGGAACACGCCCAGTTTATTTTGACTGGGGAAGTGGGACTAATTGATCTCCAGTTTTGAAGCCTATCTATCAAACCAGGGGTGACATTCTATAGCATCCAGAGGGGCCAAAATGTTATCTGAGCCTCTCAACTACCTCACCAGTCAGTGCATTTTTGCATTGAGAGAGAATGAAGAGAGGACCCAGCACAAATGGAAATGACCCAGAGAAAACTTTCCAAGAACTTCCAGCTTCTCTGTGAATTTATTCTGTTCCCACTATATTTGTCCAGGAAAGGAAGAGTTGTAGTGCTTACCACATAACATTAAAAGATCGTAAGGCGAGAGCCATCACATTCCTGGGGTGACATTCAGGGGTCTCCAGGTCGGGCCTCCTTCCCCTGTAGTCCAAGCTCTGGCAAACTCACCACTCCCCGAGTCCAACCCATCCTCCTCCTCTTCTCCTCTTGCATTTCCCTCCACCTGGAATGGTCTCTCCACTCCCATCCCTACCCCCTAAATTCCTATCCACTCCTCAAGGTGGAGTCCCAACCCCGTCTCCTTCATTCGTTGTCTTGCCTAACTCCTTCTGTGGGCAGATTCTGCTCTCCTCTAAATGACTAAGCCCTTCCACGTTCTGCATCACACTGTGGTCACAGGTACTTGCATCTCTCCCTTATTGCATCCAGATGCTAATAAGCATCTGGAGGGCAGGCACCACAGCCTCTTCTCTCCTGCTGCCTCTCAGAAGTACCCCACACCGCCAAGTCCTGGAGAATTACTTAGTAGATGAAAAAAATCTCTCCTCTGAAACGCCACATGGTGCCTCCAGAAAGCTGATCCTGAGGACTTGGGAAAAGCACACGGCCATCACATTTTCATTCTGCTGCGTCAAGCCCCACCCCCTATAGAGGACACCATCAGCATTCCTCAACTGCAGGCAGGTCTCGGTTGTGGTAAAACCTCACTCTGAAAAAGTACTGTAATCACTATATTCTGAATCATGTCCCCTGATAAGTGACTGACTCAACGGTGCTTACAGCATGGGCAAGAGTACTGTTCCCACAAGTCAACACCAATGACGTTCGTCAGTACCCTCACCTTCTACAAAGTTTTCATCCAATCAGCAAAAAGAACCCCAGAGTGACTACTAGGTGCTAGACGCTGGGTTAAATGTTGAGGAAATAAAGTCGAATTGGAGCAATCCGTCCTTACCACACCCATACTATTATTTCTACTTGCTACTCGGAAGTTAAAGCAAAGACCACCTGGGCAGCCCGTGAGAGAAGGCAGAGTGGCGGCTGCTATGGTGAAGGCCTTTCTCACCGGGAGTGAAGGAATGAGAAACACATCCGGGCAGGATAAACCAGGCGGCCTTAACAACCAGCAAGACTGAATTTGTCTGCTCAAGTTCCTTGCACACCGAAAATACCAGACTCACTTTCGTTTCAGGCTCTGTGGCTGAGCTGGAGCCCTCAGCTCCCAGTTCCCACAGTAACAAAGACTTGTTGCTCCTTCTCCACCCGGCAGATGCACCACAAGGCAACAGGAACGCGGCCTGACGTGTAACTGCCAGACACTGAGTGGCAGCTCAACAGGACTCAGAGTCACAGAGAGGGCCCACTCTGGACCAACCTCAGTTAGCCTGGGCCTCCTGCACCACCGAGGGCCACGGATGATGCCACCTGGCCCTTCCTGGGCATCTGCCACCGTCACGGTCAGGAGAAAGGCAGGCTTCGAGGAGCAAGGAGCTCACCTGGCCCTAGAACTGGTGTCGTCCAACCTCAGCAGGAGACCTGCTGGTTCAGTGCAAAGGCCCAGAGGCCAACACCAGAGTGCTGGAAATCATTTCTTTGTCCACTAATAAATCCAAACCCAATTTGGAGTGTTAACCAAAAAAACAGAGAGAGAGAATATTCTGCTTCAAGGGCAGTAGCTTACATTACGCAAGTTGAAACTAATTCTTTCTACAATTTGCCTGGTTTTTCATCCATTTTATGCACCGATGCACCACAAGAAATTTGCCCAGAAGGCCAAAGACCTTGCCTAGATGTGAGAGCACGAGGAGAGGAGAGGGGAGAAACTGAGCTCATGTTTAGTTAAGTGCTTTTTC